AGGGATGCAGTTTTGGCAGTGTGCAGTTCCTCCGTGACAGCAAGGAGAGCAGTTTCTGTGGAGTGACCTGCCTTGAAACCAGACTGGTGCGGATCCAGAAGGTTGTTCTGATTGAGATAACAGGAGAGTTGTTTAAAGACAGCGCGTTCAAGTGATTTAGACAGGAACGGGAGGAGAGAGACAGGCCTGTAGTTTATAACATCAGACGGGTTGAGAGTGGGTTTCTTTAGGAGAGGGTTTACTCTTGCCTCCTTGAGACTGTTTGGAAAGTGACCAGAAGTTAGAGAAGTGTTGATGAAATGGGTGAGAAACGGTAGAATATCAGGAGCGATAGTCTGAAGGAGGTTTGAAGGGATAGGGTCCAGAGGACAGGTGGTAGGGCGGGCAGAGGTAATGAGGGTAAGAACCTCACTTGGAGAGAGAGGGGAAAAGGAGGTTAGTGTGTTGGTGGAAGGAAGGTCTGGTGACCCAGCGGTGAGTAAAGGTGAGTCAGAAAAAGAAGAGCGAATATCATTAACCTTTTTTTCAAAGTGGGTAACAAAGTCGCTTGACAGAAGTGAGGAGGGGGGAGGGGCTTTTGGAGGGTCCAAGAGGGTGGAGAAGATGGAAAATAGTTTTTTAGGATTGGAATAGGAAGATTGGATCTTATCTTGAAACATGAATTGCAACCATTGTTTGTACACCAAGTCTGCAATATTCTAGTTTAAATGAACACATTCATCCTAATAGAACTGTTATTGTAAATACACACGCCAATTTAACACACCGACAATCTTGATTTGCGCATTTTAAATCTTACATTTAAAGGCACTTCTCTCCACTTGTGAATGGATGGGTGCAGTGCACACTAAAGTTCTCCTGAGTCAGGATATCATGCTCAATATGTCATGTTAATAATTGAATAAATAATTCACAGTGACCTTTGAGCCTGAAATGGCAGTTCTTTGGCTGAGGTGCATGGTCTTTAGAGGTATTAGTGTGGGAGGTTAAACATATAATGCATAGTTTTACACTATTACAGTAAAGTAGTTTTCCTTTATTAGTTAATAAGTAATTAAATAGACAGGCAGTACATTGTTTGACATTGATATCCTGCTCACAGCAACAGAGCAACAGCTACTGCTGCAGTATGGAAACACCATTTGGATAAACTGCAGTACACCATCATAACTGGTTATAATAATACAACTTTTGATCAACTTATATGCCTAACCTTTTTTTCCAATGACTCATAAAACTTCGATGTAAACCCTTTCTCCAGATTCATCGGTATAAGATTAATGAGACGATAATGTTAATAGATATGTACAATATATACATCTAAATGCACACACACATACATCTTTAACACACACAGAGACCAACACTCCTGCTCTCTTTCAGTTCCACACTCACAATCACATGCACGCTGCAATTCAGCTGTTTCCATGCAGTAGAACAATACAGTCATATTTAAATCAATAAAACTATGTTTAAATCAATTTGTTGTGTTAAATTATTGACTTATTTGTTAGTAAGTAGCCGTGTAATTAGCAGGATAATGTGCAGCGAGCTGATCATATTACCCCTTACATATTTGTCCCCGGGGGGCAATTTCCAGAGGTATGTAAAGCAGTAGAGGGACACAATGTAGGAATAACAAAATGAATACAAAAATACAAAAAAAGGCCAAAACCAGTATGATTACAATGATACAAAATTATAATTAGCTACATTAAAACAGTTACTAAATCAGCCTACTATCACCTAAAGAATATATCGAGGATTAAAAGACTAATGTCACAGCAGGATTTGGAAAAACTTGTCCATGCTTTTATCTTCAGTAGACTTGACTACTGCAATGGTGTCTTTACAGGTCTCACTAAAACATCTATTAGGAAGCTGCAGCTGATTCAGAACGCCGCTGCTCGAGTCCTCACTAACACTAAGAAAGTGGATCACATCACTCCTGTTCTGAAGTCTTTACACTGGCTTCCTGTGTGTCAAAGAATAGATTTCAAAATACTGCTGCTGGTTTATAAAGCACTGAATGGTTTAGGCCCAAAATACATTTCTGACCTCCTGCTAAATTATGAACCATCCAGATCTCTCAGGTCTTCAGGGACTGGTCAGCTTTCTGTCCCCAGAGTCAGAACTAAACATGGAGAAGCAGCGTTCAGTTATTATGCTCCAAATATCTGGAACAAACTCCCAGAAACCTGCAGGTCCGCTGCAACTCTTACTACTTTTAAATCCAGGCTGAAGACTTTTCTTTTTGTCGCTGCTTTTAATTGAACTATTCATATCTTAGACTGCACTGTAACTTTTATCCATGTACTTTTTCTTTTAATGTTTAATTTATTAGCTTTTCTTTTTAATGACTGATTTTAAATGCCATTTTCTTAATGTCTTTCATTTTTTGTAAAGCACTTTGAATTGCCTTGTGTTGAAAAGTGCTATATAAATAAACTTGCCTTGCCTTGCCTATGTTACTCTCATAGGAGGCGTGTGTGTGAGAAAGAGTTGCCAACGCGGGTCGATGCCTGCGTTGGCATCTCTTTCTCTCACACACACACACCCACACACACACACACAATACTGACGTCCAGTTGCCTCCGATGGAAGTCAATATCACTGTCAACTTGGAAACGGTATCCACTGTCATGGCAACAAGGGGCAAGGCACACCCTCGCCACACGTGCAGACAAACAAACCACGCGTTGGAACGTGACGTTAAATATACGGGAGGATCCAACAAACCTCATCTACATACTTAAAACAGGTAATTGTTCATGGTCCCCAGAGGATTAACCTGACCTACATCCAGACTACATGAAAACTTGCTATTTCACCCGTATGAGCTGAATTACCTTGGAGTTGGAGTGAGTATATACGCAATATAAGATAAATGTATTTGGCCAGTGTCAAGTATAAAAGCAGAAAGAATATAAAACAATACAGACACTACACTGAATTCAGACTACCTTATCTGGTTCTTCTTTTGTTGGACATCATTAGATTTATCTTGACGTTTTATATTTTAGCACTATTTAGTTGTACATATGTTCCATGATGTTGTCATAACAGTGAACTTACATTTTTTATCAACAGTCAGGTCAAAGTCTTGAAAAATGAAAAAACGTTGTCTGTTAAAAGTTAGACTAGCCTGTAAATGTAATCTTGGGGATAAGGCAAAGAAAAGGATCATAAAAAAACACGTTTTAGGTCGCCAGCTTGTCCAAAAAGCGATGAGACAACTCAATACAATCCGGCTGACAACATTGTGTGATGCAGGGCATAAGGCATGCCCGGGGAATACACAGTTCAAGGAGACCTGACATACAGCAGGACTGGTACTATTACTACTCGAGCACCAGCTTCAAGCAAACAACCGTAATTTTGTACTCAGCGTGACACTTGCTTTGTCCAACTCAAATCAGAAACACGTCTAGTAAACAGTGCCTATAGTTGCCATGCCACCTTTAGAGCAACCCGTATCACGTGAAATCTGATGGACTTAAAGCTAGGATGTAGGGTCAAAATACTTAATGGTGGATGACCTATGAACTCCAGATGAGGGGTTGACCTCGCTATAATGTGTATAAGCACAGCAAGAGAGCGCAAACACATAATCCATAGCTGCTTGTGTGCTGTGTAAACCCAATCATCTTTCCGCAGCAGCAGGATGGGAAAAGCTCAGGATATTTAACAGGAGGCGACAGCATGCTGTGATCATTCACCGCACAGTTTCCACGTGTGTGTTTTGTTGAGATGATGTTACTTTAGTTTGTCTTCTTTTTTCTGTCATGTATAAAATCGACTGTGTGTGTATTTATAAGGCTGATTCAAAGATGATTTTTATTTCCATCTAGTATTTTGGACGTAACTGCACGCTGAAGTTACAATCAACATGTTGTTACTAACCCCATAACCCCCACCCCACCCAACCCCACCCCCCCCCCCCACCACACACACAAAGGCTTATATCCCGGAAGCATGGTGGCAGGGGGGATATTGTAACAAGTATCCGAAAAAATGTTGGTCCAACAAGTGAGACAAGGCACCCCGTCTGAATAAAAGAGGATTATCTCTCTTAATTTATGATAATTAATGCACACAGAGTAATGAGAGCAGCATGTTATTGTGTGACTGAAGCCTGTGTCACTCTCTCAAACTGTGTGTTATTGAAGCCTGTTGCTTCACACACACTCAGTACCACGCCATTGTGTATCTCATGGGAATCTTGAAGTCCAACCACTGCCAAATCTCTGCACCAATGCGTTTTACACACACACACACACTGATTTCACTTTGGGGCAGCCTCGTCCTGGTTGGATCCACATTCTTGTTTCGCTTCACGGCTTTACACAAAATCTTAAAAAACTTAAAGCATTGTGAGGCAGTCGAGTAAAACCTTCGGGGCCACCATGATGTTCCGAAAGATAGACTTGGTGTCTGTCTGTATAATATGATGTATGATCTGTATGATGTGTCCTCTATTCCTTATTGTCCACTCTGTCTTGTTTCTATAATCAACTCAGATATAATGTGCAAAAAATCCCAACAAAACTGGCCAATCCCTCCCTGTATGCTGTGTCATGAAGATACTGCAACTCACTCAAGGAGCACGTACTGACACAGATATATTGAATACAAATACCCTTATTAATAGAGACATGATATACCCATAACAGTGAAACAGGACATAATAAGGCCATGCAATTACCAAGCATGGATGCACTGCACATCATGCGTTTTTTTTTCAATTGCTTACATTGTGGTGAAGTATGATGACACGTTCATGTATTACTATAGAAATAGAAAAGCATGTATCCCCCTACAGCCTTTAAACCTCAGCTGCTTGCTGCACACACACACACACACACACACACACACACACACACACACACACACACACACACACACACCACACACACACACACACACACACACACATACACATACACATACACATACACATACACATACACATACACATACACATACACACACACCATGCCTCTGTAGTCAAACCATAAGAATATTAGTGGAGTGACTTGGGGGGCGGTGCGCGCACAGCCCGTCTCTTTGCGATAAACGTGAGTGCGCGTCCGTTATCATCCAAACCAGCCAACGAGCCAGCACTCCTCCAACCATATCCTGCCGAGCCGAGCTGATCCGAGCGGAGCATTTGGCCGCGTCGCCCCGCACAGACAGAGGCAACGGAGGGGAAGATGAGCGGGTAGAGCCGCCGTCCTCCGTCCCTTACTGAGCCACATTCGCGCTAAAATCTCCCGCAGACACGATGGTCTCCATCAGGACCGAGGATTTCTCCTTCCAGCTGATCCTTCTCAGCATTATAGGTAAGAGAGACATTATTGAATTTAAGACTGACATGTGATGACATTTTGGAAGCTGTCATTGATTCAGTCTGTTTTATTCCTGTTTCACAATCAGCGCCAAGGATACATTTTATATGGATGGCATCTTTTAAGAACATGCGTACCCGTTCCTTCAGTATTCTTCCTTTCGCTCAGTATTCCTTTCTCAGATTCGGTGTCAGTGAATCATCTGCAATACAGGCAGAGATTTGTCTTGTCATGCTTTAAACATGTTGAGCCATTTTTAAGTATGAAATGTTGTGCAGTGTTCTGCTCCCACAGCCTCTGATGAACTTATTAATGTTCAGTCCAAATGTTGCATTCAGGGACAGATGCACGTTTCATTCAGCAACCTGACCTGGAATTAAACAATCCATATGTTTTTTGCACATTCACAATGTAACTGTGTCAGCCTGATTTATGAGACCATATTTATTAATCAAAGTGAGTATTCTTCACATTTGGATGCTTAGCTTTTGGATGCTGGGAAGTCCACTGTAGCCTCAGGACAGCCTAATGCAAACTTTTCAGCAATCATCTATTTACATTTTACCACTTTTTTTTACATTGAGAAAGCTAACAATGGTCTGTTAAAACCAGATCACAGAAATGATTTAGAGCAGCTGTCTAAGAACAGATCCTCTTTGTAAAAGGAATCTGAGAGTAGACTTGGTGCTGATTTCAGTAACAGGTGCAGATGTGAGAAACACAAGAGTGAGACAGTTTTGGATAAAGCGATGGACACATTCATTTTTGCAAATGTCAAAAACATTGAAAGTGGGACCTACTGTCAAAGCTTACTTAATAGATCTGCAGAGATGATTGTTTGACTTTTTGCACCTCCATCAATAAATTGCAGCCGTGACACAAGTTATGTTATAGTTGGTTACACCCTGAAGTAGACTTTAAAATGTCCCACTCAGTATTGTATCTTGGTCATAATTCTTTAAGCAACAAAAGAGTTATGTTCATCCCTAATTTGTGTTTATTTTATTAAGAATATCAGCTGACGTATTGTTATTGGATTTTATAAACTCTTTAATATTTATATTGATACTGAAAAATGACAAGTAGTAGTGCCATCTGCTGTTCTACGCAGAGTTTATTGAAGCTCAAGGACAAAGCCTATTTTTACTTAAAATAATGTTTTGGTTGACCTTAGAGATATCCAAAAATATCCATTACTCTTTTTTTTAAATTATTCTTACAAGGTTTTCATAGCATCATTTTCCAAATGTTTTCCTGTTCCAAACTCCAAACTGCGTGTTCCCGTTTGATGAGATTGCGTGTGATCAGATTATCTCAGATGAGCCCATAAGAAGTTCTTTATTTTATATAACTTGGTGCAGAAATAGACCGACGGTACAACTGGCTGGGTTCATTTTCTGCTAGGTTTTTAAAAGGCTTCTTCTTTCCAGACATCTTAATGCTCTTCTGAGAAATGCCTTTGCTCTCAGTCAAAGTTGACTATACTCTGAAGTTGCAGCAGTGAAGCTTGTTGATTCCATTTTCTGTGACTACAAGTTTAGACATGTCCCTTCCGTTTAAATATTTTATGTGAAACATGCTGTTTAGATAGAAACATCTTTTCCTTTCGGAGAACAAAAAATGGAGCATCCTCCAGCCATCTGTCCTACAATATGTCTGGACACCATTCAAAATCACACAACATGTTCTCTTGCTCAGCCTTTTGCTCAATGGATGTTGTGGGTGCTCTCGGTTTAGCCCTGTTTGTCCAAGCAGTTCTGCCAGTGACAACACTCTTGTCCTTGAGTCCTTCACTGTGCCATATGCTTTTCAACAGCACGGCTGCCACTACATAGTATCATCCATCTGACTTCTCAGTGGTCACACACCTTCGGCATGGGGTATCCATATGTGCTGGTCAGCAGGAGAGGGATCCTAGAATTAGTCCTGTTTTGATCCACTATTTTGACATTGAATATATATAGGTATAAGTGTTGGAACCACCAATATCTTTAAGCTCTTTGTATTCTGTGATCCTTTCATTAGAGATTTCAAACTAATCTAATTGAGCTCAGCGTGATGGCTGTGCTTGTCTTATTCAGCATCTGACCCCTTTTACCCATAACCACTTGTATTTTGTATTTATATATTGGAAGTGTTTGCAGATGCACATTGATTGTTGGTGGATGGTAATTGGTTCAATGAGCATAGCAGCAGCCTGTAAGCTATTGATCATTCAACAGCTCAACATGATCTATACTGGACTTTGGCACAACAATTTGGTATGTGTACTTCACTTAACAAAAAGAGAAGAAAGATTTCATCATTTGTATAGCCTTGACTCAATTCGGGCATATGCCATATTGGAACAGACATGGCACCTAGAAGTTATCCAGTGATAAAGATCCCACCATCAAATAGTGTAATAAATAACGCCATGTATTTAGACAACATAGCACCATGCCTCTTGATTATAGTGTGATGTTAATGTGAGTGCAGTGATCATATGTTCTCCTTGTGAGATACCATCTGGCAACCCAGTGCACTCGGAGCATTTCAACCAGAGGGGTTGCATCCGGTGGCATAATAGGATGCCTGACAGCAATTTCATACAGCATACTGGCACACACAGCACACTGAATGTGTAAATCCATAAATAATATGTAGAGCGCAGTGATGATGAAGAGTGAGAAACAGTCAATTCAAGTATGATATCGCTTGTTTCAGAAGAGTTACAGTAAACAATGTGACCTTTTAAACTAATAAGCTAACTGACTTACTTACTTACTGCTAAACATACAACAGTGTTTGTAAGGACGAGGCAAACCAGTGCTGACCCTGAAACGTTACTGTTTAAATTAATTTGGGTATAGTAGACTATTTTTGCAAAATGACAAATGACAAAATATCCTAAAATCCCTAAGTATGACCCTTATGTTTCCTTAAATTAATACATTGGTTCCATCACCACATCTTCATCCTGAAATGTATTGTATTATTATATTTATTATATGTATTATCAACTCCTCTTTCTCTAACTGTGTATAGCATGTGAGTTAGAGTAGTGTGTCTGACCCCTTCTAGCCTTGGCTCCATGCTTTAAATGAGATTATGTGTCTGTTAACTTACAAAAATGCACACACACGCAAAACACACAGCCTGAGTCTGGCTCTGTAAACCAGCCAAATAAAAATCTCCTCTTAGGGAAATAAATCTCGTTAGAAAGATTTTCCAAAGCCTTCTTAACTGTCTGGTTTGTAGTGGAAAAACATATAATCAGATTTTGTGTTCTTTTATTGGAAGATATTTTTAGAGATAATGATGTTGTAGAGAAAAGTTTTATTGTTAAATATTATACGCATTTACTTTCCTAAAACAGATGGTTTAAATCCTTAGAATGGAGCAAAAATGTTCTATATGTACCCCTTTGAGTACCATCACAAATCTAATTTTGGGAGATTAGGGAAGCATGAGTGTATTTTGAGTGTACTGCTACAGTAGATGTGTGTCGCACTTTCAGTCACCAAAGTGTTGGCAATGCTAAAAACCACAGCTGTTACGTTGAATAATTGATCCCCTGCTTTCTCTGTGATATTTTGTCATCCTGCCCTCTCTTTACTGGTTGTTCAGCCTCCCCATCTGCAACATTTTATTCTGCTCTTATTCTTTAATCCACTTAGCTGCAGTCTGCTCTTACTGTGGCAACGTGCAGTCACAGTTATTTTAAAGCTGGCCTGCCTGTGCCATGAGGACAGCATAATCTCTTTGATGCTGGAGAGCTCAGTGAAACACTGAAGTCACTCAAAAGTTTTGTTACTAGTTACTGTAATTGGCAGTGATTGTTAGAAGTACACATTCTCAATGGTGGAAGTTGAATATGGTGGAAATATCTATAGTTTTAAAGAAGCCAAGACTCAACGGAGCAGACACAAATGTTGGTCCAATATTAAATTAGGTAATTTATCACCTTCACTGGACGGTCATCACTTTTTCAAACGGCATGGGGAGTCAGCTGTTGAATTGTACTTAATAATTTGGCAGTTTCAGTTGGACCCAGAAAAACGTCCCTTTCCCTTCTGTCATATATCACCTCATCACTTTATCCTGATTTTGAATTTAAAGGAATACTTGACTGCATATCTAGCTTTTCAATATGAAATACTTACTTCACCTTAGCCAGGGCTGCACGATTGATGTGCACATTCTCAAACAATGTAATTAATTGGGAGTTTCCCATTAATTACCTACAGTGTAAATAGTTCACAATGACCTGAATATTTTACAGTTCTCAATGGATGGGGTCAACCTGGGGGATTCACTTCAGTGGAACAGATGTAGGAGGATCCTCTCCACGATGTTGGCCGGCCCCTATGGGCACATTGATGTGGGATAGGAATATTTGTGACACACCAAATATGGGGATTGATTGATTGATTGATACATTTATTTCGAACATGTAAAATAAATAATTACAAAACAAAACAAATGTTGCAGTGCATAGTCATGTAAGAGAAATCAAAACAAAAAAATTACATTTACAACAACAACAACAACAACAGCATTAGTAACATAAACAGTGCCACATCTAGTGTTCGAAAAGGAGTGAGAAGAAGTGTAATTTATTTAATTTCACCCCCTTGTCCCTAAATGATTTATTTATAATCTATAATCTGCAACAATTATCATTATTATTCATTATTATTATTAATCTGCTTTAAATGGTAAATGGTAAATGGACTGTACTTATATAGCGCTTTATCCAGTCTTTACGACCCCTCAAAGCGCTTTACATACTACATGTCATTCACCCATTCACACCCATTCATACAGAGCGGTACCACTTGCTCTAGGACCTAACATTCACACACATTCACACACCGTTGGCCATGCCATTACCATGCCTTTACCTGTTGATTGACATACATATACACATATACATACACTGATTTACATATATGCACACATACATATACACACCTACATACTCACACATATACACATAGTCAAACACCTTC